CTCTCTCTCTCTCTCTCTCGGCCCAGGTGATAAGAGTAATGATGAGGGATTCTTTCTGGTCTGTAGCACAGTATCAGAGCCTGGACTGATTGACAGCCAGGTATCTCTACAATAGAATCAAATCAGCTTTGACAATATGTCAGCTAAGCTGAGGAATTCAATTTGGGGTGATTTGTCAACAACAATGCAGGGGACGTCACAATATTCAGATGGTTAGGTTCCAGGATGCTCTTAAAGGGGGAGTGGGATGTTTTTTTTTTTTTTCCTGTTCTCTCTCTCTCCCTTTCTCTCTTTCTCTCTCATAAATCAAATCTCCTGAATTCTTGTCTGCACAGCGAGATAATCCTTGGGCTGTTTTTCACTGTCGCTGCACAGTGGTGAATTTGTAAACGTTTGCTAAGTTTTTCTTTTTTTTGTAAGGTGTGCCTGCTTAGTAATAACCTGGCAGTGTCGAAGCCCAGCATGGTTTGAAGGGAAACACTGGGAAGAGAGGTGGCTCAATGAGACTGGGTCCTGAATATTTTACAGAGGGGGGTGGAGAGCCCTCTGCTCGCAACGACTTCTTTTGCTGGAACTTCAAACGACGGGCGGCTTCCCCATCTGTCTCAGCAAGAACACATTTACATTTCCTCCCCGCAAGGGATACTGGAGGACGAAGTTAGCTCTAACTGGATTTGAATATCGCTTCACCAAGGTTAATAGCCATTTCTGTAGCTGGTGAGGTGCTTAGGCTTTTTCAATAATTTAGAAGGGCTGCAGTCATTAGGAAATGTTGGCAGCCTCTGAAATGGGGAATGCAATGAGTGAATGCACTCCTATCAGCTTAACTTCTGCTGTTGTTCTTCTCTAGATAATGAGAAAAAAATTGGGAGTGGGGCAGAAAATTAGTTGAGAAAACAATGTCAGTGATTGCTGACAGCTGTAATTCATTAAAAGTGCACTATATTGAAGATTATGTTCAGCTGTCATACTAGCTTATTCATCATCTTTGAAATTAGACCTTCAAACATATCTTAAGTGTGATTTGGATTTCATAATTGAGTTTGCCTAGGGCTGCTCCCTCTGAACTTTTTTTTTAAGGCACGTGGACCTGACTTGCCCTCATCAATGTAAAGAAATTTCAACAGGGTCAGTTCGACAGCCTGATTTTATAGCTTTTGTTTCTTTATTACAGCAATGGCAGTGAGTGTACACACTGTGTTACATGGCTGCCGCTAGTGGCACTCAGGACACCAATAAAGAAGCTACCTTAAAAGTAATGAATTGTCTTTACACAACTGGCAGTCATACTCAACTGATACAGCCCTGCGCAGTTTGGCGCGATGTCAAAATTTGACCTGCTAGTCTCTTTGTCCTCAGTCGATGCATATGTTAACAACAGTGAATCACTCTTGTAGCACCAATGAATGTGGCTCCAGGGTATATGCCTGCGACCCAGTTCATGGACTTGGATGTATAGGGTGAACTTTGACACACTCTAACATAGTTGCCCTCTCCTCATTACTGTGTTATCTTCACCTTAGACTTGACACTTTTGAACATGACTCTGTACACCCTCTCTTATTAACTATGCTAATTACTGAAATCCCTATCTGTAGAGACACAACAGTCAGGTTTTCCTTTCTTAAGCCTGTCTGCAGGAGATTAGACCTGCCCTGCCTAAAGACCTGCCAATGATGCAAATCTCACTGATCTAAATCCTGAAGCCATGCTCTACTGCTCCCGCCTCTGTCTCTGCTCTACTGCTCTATTCCCGGCTCTCTAACAGACAGATGTCATTTCTCTCTCCATACTTTAATGGTCTGGACACGACCTTAGCTTTTAAGAGGCAAGGGCATAGAAAGCTACAAGTGGGTGGTAGCATTAATGAGAACAAAAACTACATATTTTGTGCCATACAAGCGACTTCACATGATTTGTCTCTTCTTTTGCTTTTTTAGTCATCAGAAAGTGTTCAAAGAAATCAATCAATCAGTCAAAGTTTATTTTTCACAGGCAATCATATAAGGTACGATCACAGCAAAATGTAATCCCGTCAGTCCCTTTAATTTGTGCATTAAAATATTTGGACTATAATAGGAATATATGGGTATGATTATGGGTGGGGCAATCTTAGGCAGTGACTTTTAGGCTGACATTTAGAATCCTAGAGGCCTTGCGGAGCTGTTTCCATACCAGGCAGTGATGTTTCCTGTCAGGATGCTCTCAATAGTGCAGGAATAGGAATTCCTTTGAGGGAATACCCAGAGTTTCTGCAGGCATTTGAGCTAAAACCTTCTCTGCCTTGCCTTTTTCACCACTGCGTCATCATGCAGTGCCCAGGTCAGACACTTAGGCACTGACGTGGACACTAAGGTACTTGAAGCTGTCCACCCTTTCCACCAAGGACCCGTTGATATTAAGGAGGGTGCAGTTCCTTCCCTGCTTCCAAGTCCACTATTAGCTCCTTCCTCTTGTTGGCTCTCAGAAGTACACTCTTGCCCTGAAACCAGCGAGTCAGGTCCTCTACTTTCGTGAGGTAGGCCTTTTCATTGTTATCTGTGATCAGGCCCACCACAGC